AGAGAGCCACACTGGCATTTGGTGACACAAAAGTGGGAAGCTGACTTGCCATGAGCCATGTGGCCTGGGCAGCTGAGGGAGGCCCAGCAGGACCTGAGGAGATCCTGGGCCATGCTTGCTCCTTCCTTAGGAGCCTCCAATACCTCTGCATCCCTGGGAGAAAAAAAGCCGCTCCTGACATCCACAAGCACACAACAACCCGGGACTTAGCCATTGCACTGGCCCTGAGTTTCTCCTGTCCAGCCATGCCAGCAGCATCTGTCCCAGGAACTTTGCTCAGGCAGCTCTGTCTCCTTCTTCACTTGCACTCCTGCGCTTAAAAGTCACTTCGCTGGCAAGGTTTTTCTATCACACTCAGCCCACTTGGCAGTGTGCACACATTTCCCCTGTTTGCATTGCCTGATGCTTCTCTATCCTGAGCCCTAAGAGGTCTGAAAGTTGCTGTGTTTTCAGCTGAATTCCTGGTATGTAGAGCAGCTCCCAGTTCAGGGCAATCAGTGAGTGATGCAACTGAGAGATAAACCACTGGATTCTGACTCCATAGCCAGTGTTCTTAATTGATTCTTTAGAAAGGAAACATGAATGGAATTCACAGTAACAAGGCCTCCAGGCCCAAAGGAAGCCACAGGCAAGGTGTAGAGCAGACTTGGAAAGGTTTTTCCTAATGAGCCAGATAGGGCTTCCGGCTTTGTGGACTGTATGGTCTGTCGTACTGCTCAGCTCTGCCCTGCAGACTCTGAAGCAGCCGTGAATAAGATGTAAACAAATGGATGTAACTGTGTTCCAATAAAATTTTATTTACAAAGATAGGTGGTAGGGGTTCATCATGATAGCTCAACTAGCTAATCCTCCACATCTGAATGCCAGGATCCATATGGGTGCCAATTCTGTGTCCTGGCTGCTCCATTTCCCATCTAGCTCCCTACTTATGCCCTGGGAAAGCAGTAGAGGGTGGTCCAAAGCCTTGGGACCCTGCACCCTGCATGCATGTGGAAGACCCAGAAGAAGCTCCTGGCTTCAGGTTAACATAGCTTCAGCCATTGTGGACACTTGGGGAGTGAACCAGTGGATGGAATATTTTTCTCTCTGCCTCTCCTTCTCTGTAAATATGTCCTTCCAACAAAAATAAATCAATCTTAAAAAAAAAAAAAGATAAGTGGTGGGCCATATTTGTCCCTTGGCCTATGATTCGACACCTGTGGTGCGGAATAAAGAACGTGGGGTTTGGAGAAAGCCAGATTTGTCGATTTTCTCTGATGAGCTGAGTAACTTTGGATTTGTGCCTCAACTTTTCCAACTTATTTCCTTGTGTGTAAATACTCACTGCTATGACTTTATCATGAATTGACTTATTTAAAAGTGACAGGAGCCAAAACTACAGCCAGAACAAGATAGACATGGCTCTTGCCTTGTGGCGCCCACACCCAGCTGGACAAGGACAGATAGCTTTGGTTAAAGAGCACAGTACTTGGTTCTTGGCAGGAACTGAACTAATATTGCTTCCTTCCTTCAGTCATGCACCTCATTCATTTTCAGGACCCACTAGTTTCAACCTCATTGCCATTGGTACTCACGTTGAGTAAAAAGGTTTGCATGTCACCCAGGATTTAAATATGTTTGTAATCCATTACTATGCAACACAGGCCTAATTGTGAATCATAATTTTTTTCATTAACTGAGCTCATTTTACTTGGTAATATCCACTTGAGCATTTGAGAGCAATAAAACTACATTTCCTTTAAATATTATATGATTCAGTTGGTTCACTGATTTAGATTTTTACTGCCCCCCCATTCCAAATGAATGAGTCATCTCTCTTCTCAGAGATAACAAGGACCTTCAAGATCATTCCAGCCTGTGCTTCCCTTTGTGCATGCCGAGTAGGGGAGAAGAATAAGCACGTGGACCCCACATTCTGGGACGGAGCTGGGGCAGGCCACCACAATCCTGAGGACGCTTGCTTTGCTCTCAGAAGTGAATGCACAGTTTATATCCGAAACTGCTTGATGCAACTCAGTTTCCCTTTATATCTCTAAGGAAAATCGGAAACCAGGGTGAGATATTGTTATGCCGGATTTTGATATCCCTAGCAAATCATCAAGTCTGAAGTCGGTGCTAAGGCATAAAGGTGGTTTATTCAGGTTAGCCTAGGTCTCCCAACCACCTCCCCCAGCCAGCAGGGCTGGAGGGGCAGGGGCCGCTGCAGCAGAGGCTGCTGCAGTAACAGCAGGGCAGAAAAAGAGTGAGAAAGAGCCCTCCCCACACCCCCCAGGTTGAACAGCACAGGGTTCTTATACATTTCAGGCTATTAATTATACAGTCATGATTTAGCAGGCTTCTATTGGTGGGTTTGAAACAAATAACTTTCAAAAGGTACAAATGGATGGGCTATAGGGTGGTGAATCTTATCAAACACCAGGGACCTTCTTCCTGAGGAGTGGTCTGCCTACGTGACCTGACAGGTGTCCTGCTGGGTGTCACATAGACTGTCAGGCCTGGAGTTCACACAGCCCTCAGCCAAGCAAGTAAGGCAGAAATCACACAAGCAGAAAATACTTAGGTTTTTCAATATCATGTTTGCCTGTGAAATGAATGTGTATGCCCACCAATTGCCATATACAGACATAGAGCATGGTTCTAGGGACACTGCCTGGGGCTTCCCAGGACTGCATCCCAGCAACTGTACTTCCTTCCATGTGAACCCCAAACAAGTTTCTTATCTTCTCTGTGCCTCCCTGTACCTGTAAAATGGGAGTGGTTGTAGCTCCTGTGTCCTGGGGTAAGCTGAGCTGAGGCGTGGGAATGCTGGGAACAAAGCCTGGGAGTCACCTGTGTATGCCTAACTAGGAACAGGTGGTCCCAAGAGGATACAAGCCTTACGTATATTCATCCAATGAATGTAGCCAGCACCTGGGAGTGTTATGTGTCTTCTTTGTATTTCAATTTTTTGCTTATTTATTTGAGATGTAGGGAGATGGAGCAAAACAGAGAGAGTTCTCACATGCTGGTTCATTCCCCAAATTTTCTCAATAGCCAAAGTTAGGCTGGGTTGAAGCCTGAAATTCAATCTAGATCTTTCAGAGCAGGGCAGGAACTCCATGACGTTAGCCGTTACCGCTGCCTCTCAAGGTTCCAGAATCAGGAGTGGAGCCAGGAATTGAATCCAGGAAGTCCACTGTGGGACATGGAGTCCTCACTGGTAAACTAACTGCTAATCTGAACACCTGCCCTACACATCTTTTGACTTCTCTCTCACCGAGATGTCTGTCACCAACATGCTCTGTCTGCACGACAGCCTCTGGGCAAGCCAAGTGGCAGAAGATAGCTACCATAGAGTACCCTCTTCCATGTTGGGGGACCCTGGCTGTTGCCAGGCTGTCTCCTCTCTTCTAGATCTCCAGGCTAGTGTCCCGAGGAGAGGTGGCGTCTGTGCCTCTGAGCCTGAGATCACACATTTATGAGCAAGGAAAGTGTTGTCTGAGGCTCTTGGGCATTTCTGTCCAAGGTGCTCGGTTTCTGACCTTTGAATTGCTTACCTGATTACCTGTCACAGGGAATTCATTCCAAAGTCCTGGCCTGTCACCCTATATCCTAGCAAGATCTGTTTGTGACCCTACTATAAAAGAGAGTTGCAAATGACCTTCTGTTGCTGTAATAACCCCAATCACCATGGATTATGCACTTCTCCTGAGATATATGCTGACTGAAGTGCTTTATATACATTATTTTATGTAATCCTCACAAATCCCTGTGGTTGGGTGGGTTTAAAGAGTTCTGTGTTGGCCCAGCACCATAGCCTAATGACTAAAGTTCTTGCCTTGCATACACAGTAATCTGATATGGGTGCCAGTTTTAATTCCAGCGGCCCTACCTCCCATACAGCTCCCTTCTGGTGGCCTGGAAAAGCAGTCGAGGACAGCCCAAAGCCTTGGGACCCTGCATCCATGTCAGAGACCCGGAAGAAGCTCCAGGATCCTGGCTTCAGATCGGCTTAGCTCTGGCTTTTTTGCCCACATGGGGAGTAAATCAGTGAATGGAAGATCTTCCTCTCTGTCTCTCTTCCTCTCTATATATCTGCTTTTCCAGTAAAAATAAATAAATTAAAAAAAAAAAAAGAGTCCTTGGGAATTTTATCCTAAAAGAGACAGGGCATTTGTCATGGTCATGACAAGCATACTATAGAGCATGGCTTCTATGGCTGTGGTTCCAAAGTGTCCACTCTGTGGCCAGTAATGAACCCTACCCCTTTCTCTTCTTGTGAAAGCAGGACCTGTCCTTGACATGGGCAGGGGCTGTTTTTGTGAAGTACACCTGGGGTCTGATGATCAGGGCCTCCTGTGTCACTGCATCCTTCTTCTGGTGGGAGGATCTAGAAGCAGCAGAGGCTGCTTCCTGCCAGGTAGAAGCCCTGCATGGAGTCAGACAATGGGCAGGAAGTGGAAGTTGGGGCTGGCAAGAACTGGGCAGAATAGTAGCCCCCAGCTGGGGGGACCTAGTATGGGGCAGGCCCAGGACAGGAAGGGCCTGGAATGCTGCTGGCTGGGAAACCAAAGCTGAAGCCCGTTTTCACCCTGTGGCTAACAGATCCTGCAGGAGAGGGCTCCTGCCTTGAAGCCCTGGGATGTCAGAGTTGCGTCCATAAACTCCCCAGCAGATCCCATTGAGCATCCTTCTGCCTTTGCTGTGCTTGGTGTTTATTAAATGGATGAACGGATGGATTTATGGATGAAGGAATCTTTGGGAGGAGTAAAAATTCCAGACTCCTTCCGTCTCCCAAAGCATCACTTTGCCCACTGCCATTATGAGGAGCAGGGGAAGGGGTGATCATGGTCTGTCCGAGGGTGTTAGGAGGTGGGCAGGTGGTCATGGTCTGTCCAGGGATCTGAGGAGAGGGAGGGGCAGTCATGGTCTGTCCAGGGGTGTGAGGAGGGGCAGGGGCAGTCATGGTCTGTCCAGGGGTATACTCTAACCCTCTGTCTTCTTGTCACTTCTTTCTCCAGAAGCTCCTGGCAAGCCTGAGGAGGCAGAGGCCGAGCCCTTCACAGATTCCTCTCTGTTTGCACACTGGGGCCAGGAGCTGAGCCCTGAAGGCCGCCGCGTGGCCCTGAAGCAGTTCCAGTACTACGGCTACAATGCCTACCTCAGTGACCGCCTGCCCCTCGACCGGCCCCTGCCTGATCTCAGACCCAGTGGGTGAGCAGTCGGTGGCTGGGCTCTTGTCAGGCTGTGCCCACGAAGAGTGGGGCCTGGGCTGGCTTGGGGCCCTGGGGTCTAAGCTTTTCAGCCTACATTGGCCAAGTCTCCCATCCACCCCTGCCTTGGTTTCCCCAGTTGTTATGTAGGGGAAGACTTGTTTCCGTTAGAGATTTTCAAGATGAATGACGTAATTTAGTCCTTAAGGGCAGTAAAATAGTCTAGCATTCCCGTTCATATGTCGTTTTAACCCAATTACTTGCATTTTTATGAACTATTTTTTTCCCCTGTAAATTAGTTTTTGAGAGTATATCTGTCTTCCTGGGCTAACAAGCCATTACACTGACAGAGATGGCTGTGTTGGCTTCTGTCTCTGTCACACAATGATGTTCCTTTAAGGGTCACTTAGAATTTTTATTACTCCTAATTATTAAAAATGTGAGCACGTGCCATAGCCAAGAAAAATCTCATTAACTTTGTTGAGTTCACCCATGTCTGCTTTTTCCCTCTTCCTCTTGATTTTAAGAATTTTCTTGAAATTGCAGCTGGCAGTGTGAGTGCCTATCTGGAGTCTTTGGGAAAGATCTTGGTACCGGATTCAGAGGCTGTGTTTTAGGGAGAGGAGTTCTAGGTGTCTCCATAACATTTATGGAGTGCCTGACGTGTGCTGAATAACTGGGCCTGGTTGTTGCTGGCCCTGGGGAGAACCTAACTGGAAAAAGAAAAAGAGCACAGCTGAGGAGCTACAAACAGAGAGACGAATGTGTATTCATGTAACGATTAATTATTAAGTACTTACTGTCTGCTAACATCGTCTATGTCGAGGGATGGAATCGTGAACAAACCAGAATCCCAGCCTCTGCAGAACCTGTGTTCTGGTTGGATGGGGACAGATAGCAAAAACAAACAGCCCAGTCCAATATGGAGCAAGCTTGGAGGTGCTAAGTGCAATGTTGAACGTAAAGTAGGAGAGACAGACAAGCGCTGACTGTGCTGGGGTGGGGGTGGGGACATTTTCAGGCGTGATCAGAGAAGGTGTCACTAAAGAAGGTGATTTTGAACAAAGTCCTGGAGGAGGTCAGGGAGTAAGCCACCTGGCACTCAAGGGGAAGAAATGTCCAGAAAGAGAATCGGGTGTGTGCAAAGGCCCGAGGTTGGAGCATGCTTGGCTGGTTTGAAGAAGAGAAAGAGGGTCCTTGTGGCCAGAACCAGGGGGAGGCCATTGGAGATCAGGCTGGGGGGACAGTAGGAAGCAGATGAAGTAGGGCAGATATTCTGTACCTTGGCTATTCATTTGACTCAGGGGGTTTCAAAACCAGGCTGCCACATTAAGGCCAATTAAAAAAGTTATTAAGGGTACCCTCAGCATCAGTACTGTCCACAGTCCCTGGGTGATTGTAGTGTGCAGCCAGGTGGAGCATCATCCGACTAGGGCTTCATGGACTGCTATGAGGTGTCTATGGGGAGAGGCTCGGTGACGGGAAGGTCTGAGCAGATGGACAGTGTGCTCTGATGGCTGTGTTTGGAGAGGACTGAAGAGGACCAGGGTGGGCAGGAGCAGGGAGGGCTTCCTGGAGGCATCTGCACATGCATGCATTGTTGCACTGCCAGGTTGCACATCCCAGCTCCACCACGAGCAACCCTGGGCAGGTCACACAATCACCCCATGCCTATTTCCCCTTGTATAAAATGGGGACTCATAGTAGAAAGCTAAGTGAGAGTTAAAGAAGCACATGCCTGACAGCCTGGTTCATTGGATACTCACATTTGCCCACTAGTTTGAAACAGGATGTGCCTTGTTATAGGCACGATGGTTTTCATGCAAAGTAACAGAGAGGCACTGTTGTGCATAAGAAGCACATCCTTCTCTGGAGTGGTCCCAGCAGCTCTCCCATTGTGTGTGTGTCGGGGGAGCCTGACTCTCACTGCTCTTCAGTAACTCAGTAGGATTCTGCAGAACTCTGCCCTTGAGGATCGATCCTTCCTGCTGTCCCAGCTGCAGGATGCTTCCTCCATGCAGGATGAAGTGCTCCAGTGCTGGCACACGGCGGAACTGTTTTCATTCAAATAAGCCCATTGGCCTGGCGCCATAGCCTAGTGGCTAAAGTCCTTGCCTTGAATGTGCCGGGATCCCATATGGATGCCAGTTCTAATCCCAGCAGCCTGCTTCCCATCCAGCTCCCTGCTTATGATGTGGGGAAGCAGTTGAGGATGGCTCAAAGCCTAAGAACCCTGCACCTGCATGGGATTCCTGGAAAAGGCTCCTGAGATCTCTGCTTCTGGGAGCCTTTAGGGTTGGCTTTGTAGGTGTGGGAGGTACGCCTCCTTGTTCATAACACTGCAAATGTGCCAGACCCTATTATGGCCAAGGAGAGTAAATGTCACTAATTGGAGGAAATTTGACAGTTTTCCTGGGTGGTTTAAGTGGGCTCAATCTAGTCACCAGGGCACCAGAAAGTTGAAAGTAACGAAGGAGCTGCAGCCTGAGAGAGACGTCACCATCTGCTGCTGGTTTGGAAGAGAAAACCAGGAAAGGGTGGCGGGGGTGGGGGGGTGGAGAGGACAGCTTCTAGAGTAGAGGATAAAGAACCTTTGTGCTACCAGAAGCCTTTTGAAGATTTATAACATGCTTCTGTATTATACAGTAGTTATCAGCTATATAAAATAAATCTACCAACTCGGGATGTGGTGAATTTAGATTCCCACCTGTGGTGGCCTTTGGCAGGATCACATCAAAAGCTTTCATGAGGCTTATGTGGCTGTGGGCTAGACATTTTCCATGCTGCGTAGTGGAGAAAGGCAGAAACCATGTTCTCCCCAGAGCCTTGGACACCCGCTGTGATTTTAGCCTGGTGAGATCTGTGTTGGGCCTCTGACTTCCAGAGCCCTGAGATGATACATTTGTGTTGCTTAAGCAGCTGAGTTTGTAATCTATTAGAGCAGCAACATTCCCATTAGGAAAGCGATACAGTATAAACCTGTTGGACAGGACCCTGCGGCTGCCAGGGTTCTATGCCTGGTTTAATGCTTCCTACTCTTGCTCTATTAATATTCTAGACAACTTTTGCATAAGGAATGCCACATTTTCTTGTAGCTCTGAGCCTCACAGATTGTGTAGCCGATCCAGGTGGAGACAGGAAGCAGCTCCAGTGGAGCAGCTAGACCCACCATGGCTGGACTGTCCAGCTAATGGTTGGCACCTTGAGCAGCTCCTGCTCATGTCACTGTGCCAGATGCTGTGTGAATGCTTTTCTTCATTTGACTTCACATTGATGTCTCTCTCAAGTAGCTACTATTTTCCTGTTTCATATGGAAAAAATACTATTTGCAAGACCAAAACTCATTTAGGTTCCCATAGGTGTTACGTGGCAAAGCTAGATTTTTTTTTCCCCACTGGGTCTTGGGACTCCAGCGCACTGCCTCATCCCCTTGGCCAGCCCTGCTCATGTGGGCTTCTTTAGTTTGGGATCTTAGTTCTGCAAAGAAGACCCAGGGGCCTGGAGATGATGCGTCCTATATGAGAACAGCTTCAGGGCAAAGATGTAAAGGACACATCCATGGTGGTGAGCCTGTGCTGCACTGAAAATACCCACAGCACGTACTCCGTGCAGGAGGAAATGCTCTCTAAAGCTCTCTGAGGAATGCTTGTAAGGATTGTTCATGATAAGCTCATTGTGGGCTAAAAGTATGATGGGTTTTTAAATATTATTTTATTTATTTGAAAGAGTAACAGAGAAGTAAATGAGAGAAAAAGAGGGAAGAGGTAATGAGAAAGAGAAGGAAAGAGAGAGAAAGGAAGAAAAATAGATCTTTCATTCAATAATTCTCTTCCCAGATGGTTATAAAGCCATTTACCTTGAACTTCATCCAGGTCTTCCACATGTGTGCTGGGTCCCAGGTGCTTGGGTCATCTTCTGCTGCGTTCTCAGGGAGCTGGATCAGGATAGCTGGCACTTAAACCTGTGCTCTGATATAGTTTGTCGGCACGGCAGGCAATAACTTAATTCACCATATCCCAGTGAAAGCCTCTGTTATAAAATAAGGAAGATGCTCTATGTTGTTCTTAAAGGAAAGGGAGCCTTGAGCTTTTCGTAGAGTTATAGTACGTGGTGGTTTTGTTCTACTCTGCCACTCAGATCACAGGTCCAACATTGGATTTTATGAATGTAGAGGACACAGGGTATTTAAAGAATGAGGACCCAGGAGAGAAACCAAGTAATGTGATAAGCATGTGAAGTTTCTGCTTGGATTATGCAGAAGAATGAAATAGATAAAACCCAGTTTCCTGTATTGCAAAGTCAGTTCTTTCATTTATAAGCTGGATTTCCTCCATCAAGTTACCTAGCCCTTCTGTGCCCTAGTTTTCCTATCTAGAAACGGGGAATGTTAGCAGAAGGAATGAATGTGTGGTAAATGTAGACCTTATGTAATAGTGCCTGACATAAAGGGACTTCTGGGTAATTCTTAGGTCTTTTATGGCCTGTGTCTCTGATTTTCTAATGTTGTGGCTAAGTCATTTCTCACAGTGCATCCATCCCATATCTGAATCCTAGCCACTGAATGTTTCTGATCCAGCTTCCTACTAAAGTCCTTGAGAAGGCAGTGAATGGTGACCCAAGGGCTTGGGCCCCTGCCACCCATGTGGGGAACCTGTATACAATTCCTAGCTTAAGGGTTCAGCCTATCTCAGGCCTGGCTTTTGTAGATATCTGGGGAGTGAACCAGCAGATGGATTATCTCTCTTTTTTTCTCTTTCTTTATCACAAGCCCCCAACTTCCTGCCTTTCAAACTTTTAAAAATAAACATAAAAGAGATAAGTTGGACAGTGATCATGATTTCCACTGAAGGACTGGATGACGTGGGGCACGTGGGGCAAAGCATCTGTCTAGAAGTGGACGGAGTAGGCACTGTAGGACTAAACAGCCCAGGGACCCCAGAGAACAATTTCTCTCCCTGCCCCAAAGTTGTGTGAGAGACTTTGCCCTGGGCTAGGTCCTGC